GAAATGTGAATTTATGGAAGATGTTTCTCCTTTAACAATCAGTGCTATTTTTGATATATATAAAGAAGTTGTTAACATGAGTGATGAAGAAATGAAAAACTTAAAAACAATAATAATAAATAATTTAGACAATTATCTTGATGTTTCATGGTTTACAGCATATTCTTCAGCATTAGCAACATCGATTGATTTTTACAAGAAAGCAAAAACAAGATATTTCACAAAACAACATTTTCTTGATATTGTATACAAAATATTGGTATTATGAAGTCCAGATCTCGAATTAGATGAATTAATTAAAAATATCTTTGATGGTTTAGAAGTATGAGTGAATTAAACAAGAGTTCAATATTATTTGAAGTTGAACGTATCAATAATTTAATTAAACAATATGAAGAAAAACTTATTAAAAAGGAAACAGAAATATCAAATTTTCAAGAACTCATTACGGCTAATTTATCTTTTAAACAAATATTTAATCGAAAAGATATAGAAAAATTAATAATTAAGGAATTTTTTTCATCTAAAATATCTTTTATAAATTTATATATATATATATTATTACATATTTTAATCAATATTGTAACGATTTTTTTTATAATATATATTCTCTACAATTTAAATTCTAATATACGTATAAAGTGTGTTACAATATAATGTCATCGTTAGAAACGGATGATTTGCAAATTTGGTACAATTATTTGGTGAAAAAAGTAGAAAAAATATCGATAGAAAAAGATCTTTTATATCAACAAGTGCAAGAATTAGAAGATGAAAATTATAAATTAAGAAAAAGAATTAAACAAAACAATGTTTCACCAAATATTTTCACATTAATAATATCATATTTTTTTTTGTTCTTATCAGTTTTATTATTATTTTTATTGTATTTTTCAATTCAAATTCAATATGTGTTAAATATATTATTATCTAATAAACTATAAATATCCTTTCTTTTATTAAATAAAAAATAAAAATGAAAGCATTAAAAAAATTAATCATCTTTTTCATTATTTTTCTTCTTTGTTTTACAACTTTATATGTTGATTGTAAAACTATACGATCATGTAGTTGTCGTAAAAGAAGAAAAGAGTTTTAAATCATATTTTTAAAAGAATTAAATTATATTATTGATATTGTAACAATCATATAAATAACCAAATAAAGCTATCTTTATTATTATAATTAAAAATATCTACTAATAATATAAAAAATAATCCAGAAACTGGAACAGATCCTCTATCAAATAATCATAATAATTTTAATTGTATTTTTAGAAATGCTAGATTATATATAGGTAAAGGTGATATAGCTACTTATTCAAATTGTCCATTAATGATCAAATTTGCGAATAATTCAATTGTACTACAATCTAATAAACCTAATAGTAGTCAAACAACACCATGGATTAGTTATTTTAGTAGAGGAATAAAAACCCTAGTTTAGGTAGTTTGTTAATAATAACATGTGAATATATAGTAAAACAAGAAGAAAAACTAGCTAATAGATCAATAAATAATAATCAAATTTCAAAAATAATTAAAACTATATTATTACAAAACAATAAAAATAGTGTTATTAAAATAATAGGAGCAGAATTATATTTAAATTTTTCTTTATTATTAAATAATTCAGAAACTCTTGGATCACCTCCTGAAAATTTAACTAATATCAGTTGGGGATATTATAATACAATAGCTTATTTATATAGTAAAATAGTTTTACATAAATTACTTTTACAAATTACACAAAAAGAAAGCATAAAGGTAGTAGTAGTATAATTGGACAAAATGATTGGAATCAATTAGCACAAGCGATTATTAAAAATGCTAGACCAGTCATGAATAAATCAACATTTATTACAGAAATTCGACGATTATTATCTTAACAAAAAGAAAATAAACAACAACTTAATGAAATTAAAAAAATAACTGAAACAATATTCAAAGATATTGCTCAAAATAATGTTTTACCAATTCAAGATAATGTTTTAACTAATTTAATAGTTCTTTCTCAACATATATCCAGAGAAATAATCTCCGAGATTTTTAAAATTATAAAAAATATTAGACTTAAAAAAGAAATAATTTTTCCAAGTGTTATTTCACAACTACAATGTATTACTCAATTTACTATTGATATTAATAATACCAAATAATATATTTATTAATAAAATTAAATAAAATTAATTACAATCACATTTATTAAGAGTTTTAAGATAACCTGTTTTCAAATCATATACTAAACCATAAATAATAATTTTTTTATTACTAATATTCATATTAGATATAGTAAAAACTTGTTTTTTAATATTAAGGTCTACTAATATTTTTTTTTGTTCTTCGATTGATTTATTTGTAAAAAGTAATTGATTGGATAAATAAGTGTCTTTAACATCGGATAACCATTTATTGAGATTATTATTTTGAGTATCATTTGCTGTATCTATAATATGACCAACTCTGTTGCAACTATAATGACCTATAAAAATATATATTAATATTCATTTGTTATATTAAATAAATTCAGATTTACATACTACAAATAATTATATGTTGAATATTTAAACTTTTAATAGTGTATTCTAATAACGATGTTGTGTTTAAATCATTAATTTTAAATTGATTAGCAATATTTTGAAAAATAAAAAGTTCACCAAGGCCTGATTGAGTGATTATTTTAGAAGGACATCTACTATCAGAACAACCAATCTAGACACATGATGGTTTTTGTGTTCTTTATTATTTTCAATTAATTTATTAACTGGATTACTTATATTGTCTAATATATTTTTTTTATAAATATATTTAAAGAAATAAGTCTTCTATTTATTATTTTTTAATAATAATAA